TGCCAGCAGAGCCGGCCAGCTGTTGGGCTCAGTTCGGCGGTGCTTCGCCCTCCCAATCTGCACCATAGACAAGAATAAGAGCTGGAATCCCGGTTTCTCGCCCGGTTCCTCAACAAGCCCGGAGATCAGCAGCCGCACGTATTCCGCGTCGAAGTCGTCCTCGTGCGGCACGAAAAGAGCTGCCGCCGCTGCGCTTTTTTCCGGGGTCTCCGCCTCTGGCTGCCCCAGCGGCGGGTGGTCCTCAGCGGCGGAGGATATGTCGCTGCTGCTGCTGCCGCCCGACCGCCGCGGCGTGAAAAGCCCCCGAGCGCTCCACTTCAAATGGCGTCGTCTGCCGCGCGGCGCGGGGAGAGGAGCGGCAGCGGCGGACAGGCATGCGGAGGCGCTAGCGTGGAGTCGGCGGTACGCGGCAGCTGTCGGCTTCTGCACAAAAAACCATTGCATATTAGTGGGGATCGCAGGGGTCGGTGCGTCCGTCCGAGCGGGAGGGGGGGAGGAGGGGAGGGGTTCGGATATACCAGGAGTCCGTCAGCAAGTCGGTGGCATCCCTGTACCAGTAGGCTACAGCAGACAAGTACTGCAGCAGGGGGCTCCTTTCCAAACACACACACACACACACACACACACACACACACACACACACACACACTCAGACACACTGTACACACACGCGCGAGATGCAGACTCGTTCCCCAGCAGCGCTGGTTCTCAGGTCTCTGGTCAGTGAGCGCGCATGTGGCGCTGAACCGGGCAGGTGAATCACCGCGGGGGATCTCCGCACTATCCCACTTTTCCTCTTTCAAAAGTCCTTGTGAATATTTGATCCGCGTATCGGCCTCCACTTCTCAATAATCCATAAGCTCCAATGCGACAAGATACTGCTGCTGTCTGTCTGTCTCCTCTTCCTCTCCTCTCTCCTCCTCCTCTTCCTCTTCCTCACCTTGCTGATGAAAAGAAGCTGCTGGACTGTGGCTCTGCTGTCTCTACTACTCCAGAAACTAGATGAGAACAAGTAGAAGAAGAAGAAGAAGACGACCGAGTCCTCTCGGTCCTCTCGCGCTCCTCTGCTGCTTCAGCGTCTTCTTCAGCAGCGCTCAAAACGACCAACGGCCGGTGAGGCGCAAGGAGGTGCACTGACTAGCTCTACCGAACCAGGAATGTGGGAGCGATTCAACAAAAAAAACATTTCCGTTTGGCATCTTCAAAACAAAAGACCAAACAATCACAATTTCTCTCTATTTGTTTTTGCAATATGAATTATTTTCATGTTCTTACAGCCAATAGGTTCAATAGGTTACTAAAGTTATTTATTTATATGTATTCACTTATACAGGTGTACCTGACATGTACAGGTATATTTTCCGAATACGCATGTTTCAATAATCAAATAAAAATATAGGTCTCAAAAATATAACTATTAATAAAAGTGCCAGTTTACATGGAAAGATTACAAAATGTTGCAGTATGTATGACTTTGTTGTCGGCGGGCTATACCTCCAAAACAATTGTGTTTACACAACCTATAGAGCTTTGTCTATTGCCTAAACTCTTTTTCTTTGAAAAATGAGCGGTCTGGTTTGCCCTCGACTTTTATTCTGAAGGAAATCGTAACCTCCGGTTTGGCTGTGCAGCTTGATGCAGCCCTGCACTGAGAGGAGCTACTTGCAGTTACGTAGACACGTGGTTCCCACACCGTCAGCATCTGGACCGACTGGATGTGAACCGTAATCGGCAAGATCTTTTGGGGGAGGGGGGCGAGATAGCGCCACTACGAGACCACCACATACCCTTGTCTCTCTTTACTGCTGTTTTACGAGCGCTCCCCTCTTCGCATCGGGCTTTACTCCAAACTCCAGAAACCTGGCAGTTCCATGGCGCCTTTGCTATCGGCAAATTTACACACCTGTTGCACGACTCCCTTTAACACTGGGGTCTTCTAGTCAGCTCAGCTTGCACGATATGGTCGACGGTTGAACTTATTAGGGTTGAAATGTTGTGGATTTTATTTAAGTGCTGCTTGGTGCATTTTGTAGACTTTCAAACGACCACAAATAAAGTGGTTAAAAGGTTATCTCAGTTATTGGCTGTCAAGCACACTCATTGCGGGAAACGGAGCTGAAAACGCTGCAGTGGCGCTGTCCGTGGTGCTGAATCCACATTCGCACAATACTAACACACCCCGAGAAACCTTATCAGTACGCAGCTGTTGAGTATGCATGCGAGCTCTCTGGACTGTAATAACCGTTAGTGTTTCAAACCGATTAAACTAACAACACCACAACGAAAAGCAATAAATGGACTTCATTTTGTTTGCAGATATAAATCACCAAAGTCACATCGTGTGTCTACGTTTTACTGAGATAGATAATTCAATTCCAGTGAATGATAGGATACGTTTAGACAGAAACATCTGTCCAGCACATCCATCAAGTCCCTGAGAGCGTTTTCCTCGAAAGGCTTTTAAAACACACCACCCATTCTCTGGACGTTGTGGCTCATTTGCCTGCGATTCAGTCCATTACTAAACCTTAACCGCAAAACAGCAGCTTTGCTGAGGGAAAAGGAAACGACTTTCATGTATAACGTGCCTTTGATGTTTGCAGTGTGATAAAAAAATCCCCCTCTGAGCTGACAGAAATGAAGGTGCGGACCTGGGAATTTAGGAAAAGAAACATGCACTCTCAACAAGAACAGGACTTTATATATTGAAGTAGAAATGGTGATGAGCCAGGGTTTGAAATTAAAAGACTAAAATTGTATCTATAGGTTATTTGGTGTGACTCTGTAGCTTCTGTCAGGCAGCAGGGGACCATTGATGAAGCTCTGAGCATTATTTAATACTCCTAAAACAACCACGTCTCCTGCTCATGTAGTCTTGTATATTCTGCCATTTGAATCACAACAAGCACCATACATAAGGGATGCAAACACTCATTACGGCAGGACGACTGGCACATTTCTTTCCAATACTCTGTTAACAATTTGCATTGTTCTGAGGAGCTCAAGGCTGCAGCATTGCTGTCATCAAGGGTCACAATATCACCTGTGTGCACATGGAGGCTTCGGCCCCAACCAGCAAACAGCTGTATGCATGCGTGTGTGAGTGTGTGTACAGTATGTGTGTGTTTGTCACACACAGCAAGGAGAGTATAGCTGGAAAAGGAGGAAGAAGGGTGCAAGATAAAAACACGGCGGGGGAAAAAGGAGGAAGCAAAAGACTGAAACGTGAGAGTGACGCTTGCAGGGTGGGAATTCATAAAATGCAAATGAACCAGAAAAGAGGTGAATATTAATTGCAACACTCAGAGAGATGATTTACATCAGAAAGACTCCAAAGATTCTCAACTCACTATACATCTGATTGCAGGAGGATAGATAGAAAGCTCCTTTCTTGAATAAAAACTTGTATTTGTTACATAAATGCGACCTGTTGCTTCCCTTTGTTTTCTACTTATTTCTCTATCTGAATGTTATTGCCGACAGCATGGAGAGAGCTTTATGTTTGGTAACAAATTGGTAAATGGAAAGAAACATAAAATCTGCAGGAAGAGTGCTAGTACTACAGTACTTTGCTCAAGTAAAAGTACTGTTACTTTAAAGAAATTTGACTCAAGTAAGTGTAAAATGACAAAAATATATCACAGATACAAGACACTTCATTGTGTAATTTTGTATTAAACAGCTTTAATGCAATAGGCCCTTTTCACATGCTATTGCAGGACAAACACAGGTGTAATTAATAAGATTAATTAATGTATTATACATGTTGGCTCACTGGAAAGGCTATGACACACAAATTAGAATGGTACCTCAATTAAGTTGACCAATTACACCTGTATTTACCGTGCTATGACATGTCAAAATGGCTGCTATGAAAAGGGACTATAATACATTTTTGTATTAAATTATAACATATTGCAGTGGTTATAACGAAATGTGTACAATAATACATGCATAGCCAACCATAAATGATGTCTCCATCTTTACACAGGTTGTATTGTTAACAATTAAGCTAAATTAAACTCCCCAAGTAAATTAGATCTCTATGGATTCTTCACATCCATGAATACGTTTATAGGTTTACTCACCTGTCTGAACGTCGTTCTGCGAGTCTTGAAGAAGTCCTCCTCAATCTGGTCCAGGCTCAACTTCTCTGCTGGTCCAGGCTCAACTTCTCTACCAGTCCACTCAGCCTCCTGGTCCCACTAAAACCGGTCTACTCAGCCTCCTGGTCTCACTAAAACCAGTCCACTCAGCCTTAGCATTTTGTATTTTGGCTAGTACCAGCATGCACCTGTTTTGCCGCAACAACGTGGGAGTGTTTGATTTGTGTCACTTAGCGTGATTGTCAAGCGGTCAGTTTTTAACCTTCCCTACACAAAATACTTCATACTTTGTACACTTAATATAAAGAACTTCAAATGCAAAATATTCGGTTTTAATCCCTTTTTTTAAATAACTACTTTCAGCAGAAACAGACAAACAGCACTTGCTCCTGAGCGTCAGATTTGTGGACTGATCTCTCACATAATTCAGCACATCAAAGGCCGATGAGCCCAGATGTATGTGGTAGTACTCCATCTGCTGGTTGTCAAGCAGAACTACAAGTACATGGAAAGATAATTTAAAATACTGGGTTAACTTTTTATTTTAGATCCTAAATGCAAGCATGTGCTTTATAGAGTTGTCTTGACTTGAAGGTAACTTTCTACAAATTAAATAATTGCAAAAGTCACAAACCTGGTGTGCTTTTTTTTTTTTGCTCATGCTGATGTGCATCAAACATTTGATTTAATAATAATAAATTGTACATTGTTGTGTCTGAGCTTGGGTGCCAACGGTGTTTTGTTTTTTCCCCAAAAAAATGGACATAAACATAACTTTTTGGAACAGCAGTTCAACCAATGACCGGAGGGGGCACCAACACTCACCCATGCAGTCTACTCTACCGGAAATAAAAGAGACGAAGAAGCGCTGTACTCAAAACAACCACAACAGTTTAGAGAAGCGGCTGTACTGTTGACACCGTGGAGACGTTTTCAGTCGGGTAACTTTACACCACTCTATATATTATAGACGTGGGATATTTGTACTGATAGTGATATTGATTGTTGTAATGAAATATGTGTCTGTTTGTCTCTTCTCAGTTGTCATGGAGCGATGCTTTAGGTAGGAAGAGCTCAGGCACTAAGCCACTAGCTTCTGTTGTTGACCGTGCGCTTCAGTGCCCGTTAGCTTGCTGCGATGCAATTAACATCACAATGCTGTCAGAGAATAAAGTTAGTTTCTTTAGCTTCTGATTCTCTCATTTGGCTGAATAACTGACTTATTTGCATGTAATTATGCGTGCATCTGTCTGTCATCATATCAGTCTTCTGCAGACGTCTTCTTCTTCTTCTTCTTCTTCTTCTCTGTAGTGTCAGCAGGGATGGTTCCGCTTCTTGCTCCCCACCTCCTCCAGCATCACCTCCTCCCTCCTCTCCCCCGTCAGCCCTGACCTCTGCTCCCCAACAAGGAAGGCTGAGTTTCACAGGAGCCATGGTGGACGTCAGTAAGTGGCCCCTGTTCTCTCTGCTGAGCACCGAGGAGCTGGCCACGGTTCGACAGGCCTGTGTGTTTGGAAACTCTGCCAATGAGGCCATCTACATCACACATGCCAATGAGGTGAGGGGCGTGTGTTCAAACAAACTCCTTGTTGTGTTCTTGGCAGTTGTATTTGTCCTACATACAGTTCTGGTAACAAAAACCTTCTTTTATGTTGATTTGTGTGTTATTATTTCGCAGGTATTTGCATTTGGGTTGAACTGCAGCAGCTGCCTCGGCACAGGAGACAGTCTGAGCACCGTTGTGCCAAAGAAACTGGACTTCCTGCAGGGGAAGAAGGTAGCCGGCCTCAGCTATGGAAGTGGACCTCATGTCCTGTTGGCGACAGAGGGTCGGTACTTACTTATGCAAGCTATATAAATCACTCAGCCTGTGAATCATACCTGTATTTGAGCTTAGAATCTGGATTGTCAAGCCTTAGACTCTGTTTGTTTACCGCAGACGGACAGCTGTTTGCTTGGGGGCACAACGGCTACAGTCAGCTGGGGAACGGGACGACCACCCAGGGACTGTCCCCGCTGCCGGTCGCCGCCAACCCGCAGAACAAGAAAGTGAGAGAAGTGGCGTGTGGCTCGCATCACTCCATGGCCCTCACTCTGGATGGAGAGGTAGCCGTTATTATTTTTTAAATGCATGTTTATTTAAATGTTTAATTTCCAGCTTCATATACAATAATGAAGTTGCTTTGTGTTAAATGTAATCGTTCTGGAGACATAAACACCTGAATGTTGTCGTTCCCATGTGAGACAAGTATAGCACGGTTTACCCCATAATTTAATTAAATAGAGATAAACACAAGAGCATATCTACATACACTAGTATGTTTGTATTCCATATTTAGTTTTAGACGAGTCTCGTGAAAACCTTGACGTAGCCACCTCCTGCTGTGCTAGTGTCGGACTAAGCAGCTTATTTTTAACCCCAAGGCATTAAGCTAGTGCTTAATTAGGCTGTGCGTGCGTGCGTGCGTGCGTGCGTGCGTGCGTGCGTGCGTGTGTGTGTGGCAAGCAGGAAAGGCTGCTATCATGTTAAATACTGACTACAGTAGTACATTTGACAGTGTTGTGTTAATATTATACAAAAATAAGATGTGAAATTGTCTCAGCGTTAGTCACATGGAGCTCTTTTCTTACCCCTGAAGACATGTTGTTGACATTACAGCAGAATCTGGTTGTGCCTTTCCTAATGCTACAACTCGACCATTAAAGATTTGTGTTGCGTCCCTGGTCCTGACCTGCCTCCCCGCCCTTCCAGGTCTTCGCGTGGGGTTACAACAATTGTGGTCAGATTGGCTCGGGCTCCACGGCCAACCAGCCCCACCCCAGGAAAGTCACCGGCAGCCTGCAGGGCAAGACCGCGGTCGGCATCACGTGCGGACAGACCTCCTCCATGGCTCTGATCGACAACGGAGAGGTGACGACGGCGTTACGGGAAATCTTCACGATCCCCGCTGAGAAAAAAACTGAACGTCATACCGTAAAAGTTGTTTGTGTTTATTTAGGTTTATGGCTGGGGCTATAATGGTAATGGACAGCTGGGTATCGGAAACAATGGGAACCAGCTGACGCCTTGCCGCCTCACCGCTCTCCAGGGGCTGTGCATGCAACAGGTAAGGACGACACCCCAATGTAATGCTGACTGAGGATGTTGTGTATACTGAAGGGGGGGGGGGGGGGGGGGA